GCGTCCCCGCCCGAGACCGCGCCGCCGCCGCCATGGGTAAGGGGAGCGGACCGAGAGCGGACGCCCCGCTCTCCGTCCGAGGCTGAAGGCCGCGGCCGGGCGAGGACTGGTGGTGGTGGGCACCGAGGGCTCGGGTAGCAACTGGAGCCCGAACCCGAACCCGGGCCTGGGGCTGGGCGGGGGCAGCGGGTGGCTCGGGGGCGCCCGGGGTCGCCATGGCAACGCGCGGCCGCCCCCCGTTCCTTCAGGTCCCCGCCCCGGTTCTAGGGCCTAATGGCTGAGGGCTCGCGGTCCGACGGCTTACAAGGGGCGAAGATAGGGCCGCCCGGGGGGCCGCTCCCAGATCGGTGGAACAGTCGGGGATGGGCGATGACTTTTCAGGTTTGGGGGTGGCGGAGGGAAGACGCGTCTCAGGTTTTGGCCTGGGTGCCCGACGCCGAGGGCGGGAGAGGTGCAGCGATGCCGCGCAGGACCCCGGGTGAGCCCTCCGCGGGGGTCCTTGGGCGCCCCGAGCCCTTTGGGCAGCCTTGCTGCGGGGAGGAAGGGAGGCAGAGAGGGGGCTCCAGGCCCGGGCGAGATGCGGGGACTGGCCGTTGGCCTTGTTGGGGCTGCGACCAGCAGGACACATCTGCGAGCCCGGGCGGGGCGCGGCCGGCGTGTAAATGCTCCTGGGGCGAGGAAGCTGCCGGCCCCCAGCACGGACCCGCCTCGGAACAGCTGCAGATGCGCCCTTTGTCTGCTTGTCGCATCGCAAGTCGCGTATCGTAATGGGCACTGTTAAGAAAAAGGAGGATTGGTACAGATTATGAAACATCAAGTGGTTCCCCCCGCCCCCGAAAAAAAAAGGGAATCATACGACGATGCAGATTTGAAGGAATGATGTGTGTGCAGATTTTCTACCAGCTAGCTTGGTCATAGAGATTGTGGCTGTTTGCATTTTTAGTTGCTTAGGATTCCGTGTCAGTCTTCGCGCTTAGCTATCAGCTCAGAACTCGAATACTAGATAATTGGGAACCCTGGACTTTTGTTCAGTGAAGGAAAAACAGACACTTGGTTCACTTGGACTAGTAAATTTGCCAGAGATTATGAAACGTTATCCTAAGTGCTTCATTTTTCTGCGCTTCATTTTGTCATCTGTTTGCTGAAAATATTCCTGCCAGTCACAGCAATGGTGAGAATATGTGGGAACAGTGGCGAGAATATGCGGGAACATCTGAATTTCTAAGTTAACTAAGGATGGAATTTGTGGGAAAGAAAAAAATAGCTTTTTGTGAATTGAAAGTATCAATTACTAATCAGTTTTTCTTTTTTTTTAAGTGCATCTATTAACTTAGTTTTTGACTGAATCAGCTGTGTGGGCAAGGAACTTAAATGAGAAACAGGACTGCTTTTATTTCCTCTGGGAAAATAAAGGAGTTATGCAATACAGAATTACAGTTGCAATGAGAAAACAAGATGGAAAGAGGTTAAAATGAGTGAAAGAATTGAATGGCTTCTCCTGTATTTCTTTATTTGTCGGTGTGTTTTAACCCATCATGTTTATGGATGATCCTGTAATCTTGGAATTGTAACCACCTTTTATTGCCAGTTTATTCTGAACGTTTTTTGCCTTAAGATTCATCCTTGGACCGTGCCTGCTGTCTACCTTTTGCACGAGACTCTTAAATATGTTGTTTATTACTCCAATTTTATCTCCACAAAAAGTAAAAAAAAAAAAAACCAACAAAAAACCTCGTTCTCTCTGAAGACGTACCACAAAAGTAAAAGAAATACCAGAAAATAACCAAGTTGCAAGATCTTGAGAATAATTCATAAACTTTGTCTGGGGTGGGCATGGTAGTGTTCTGTGGTATGTGTGAGAGAGACATAAAGAGAAGTTACCTAGGGGTGTGGATTAGTTAGGGAGACTAATTTGTCAACCAAGGAAAAACAAACCATTGTTGTTTTTATAGGGGAATGAAAGGGTTTGTGTATTTTTCAATGTCATGTCTTGCAAATGATGTTGGACTCCTTTCTTGTGCTTTCAGCTACAAAAGACCCCACAGCTGTAGAGAGAGCAAACTTGTTAAACATGGCTAAATTGAGTATCAAAGGACTCATTGAATCTGCTCTAAGCTTTGGCCGCACTTTGGATTCTGACTATCCCCCCTTGCAGCAGTTCTTTGTTGTTATGGAACATTGTCTGAAACACGGTCTTAAAGGTATCCTGAGATTTTAAAAAAACTAAGTTTAGAATCCCACTATTTCCGTCTTAAACATCCTTGAAAATGTGGTATTTGTTGAGACCATAATTATTGTTACTTTACATTTAAAATTACTGGGTGGGTTGGCTTGGGGAGAGAATAGCCTACTGCTTTATGTTTTCTAATAAGTTGTCTTCAGAGAATACCTAGTTAGTGTTTCGTAAAAACATTTGATTTTTCATTTTTTCTCAATATAATCTGAACTGATTTCTATTTTCTAGGACAGTTAGAGTTATTTAAAAATTTTTAAGCTTAGTGATTCCAATATGAAGTCTTATTACTAGTTTGAGCCCTATTGAACAAATACATTAAAATAATTGTTGAAATATAAACCTTGTTGGCACTGGAACGTATCTAGAAAGACTGTCTTTCAGATTGGATTATTGTAGAAATGTAAGCGCTCCCTGGGAATGATGATAGTACTGGATATTTTCTTCTACACAGTTGGCACTGATTTATCATTTCATGTAAAATGTTTATGTTAGATTTAGTTATTTAATATACATTGTATAATAACTGTTTTTTTTTTCTAAAGATTTTATTTTTTTGACAGAGACACAGCGAGAGAGGGAACACAAGCAGGGGGAGTGGGAGAGGGAGAGAGAGAAGCAGGCTTCCCGCTGAGCAGGGAGCCCGAAGCAGGGCTCGATCCTAGGACACTGGGATCATGGTCTGAGCCGAAGGCAGACACTTAACGACTGAGCCACCCAGGCGCCCCTATAATAACTGTTCTTTTACTTATTGTAAAAACAGTTGTTGTTAGTTTTGGTGTCTACTTCTTTTGATAAGCTGTGTGGAGGGCTATGTAAGAATTTATTTTATTTTAAAGATTTTATTTACTTATTTGAGAGAGAGAGTGAGAGAGAGAGAGAGAGAGCCCAAGAGGGGGTAGGGTCAGAGGGAGAAGCAGACTCCCAGCTGAGCAGGGAGCCCGAGTAGGACTTGATCCCGGGACTCCGGGATCATGACCTGAGCTGAAGGCAGTCGCTTAACCAACTGAGCCACCCAGGCGCCCCTATGTAAGAGTTTATACTAAAGTGACTGTTCTAAAGCTAAAAGAAGCTTGGTTCCTTGTGGGTATACTAGGAACATGGGTAAGTTGGGAAGGCCCAGAAGTTCTGACTAAGGTACATGAAAGTGGGAGTAAATGTAAACAGCACAAAACATAAACATGGTTTTAATAAAATGTACTTCAAATTTTAATAAAATGTACTGCCAAAGGAGCCTTGGCATCAAAGTTTGAGAAACCCTATGTGATGTTATTAAAGTACTCATTTCTTTTTTTTAAATTAAAATTTTTTATTGAGATATAATTAACATATTAGTTTCAGGTACACAACATAATGATTTGATATTTTTATGTATTGCAAAATGATCAGCACAATAAGTCTAGTTGATATCATCACTGTACATAGTTAAAAATTTTTTTCTTATGATGAACTTTTAAGATTTACTCTCTTAGCAACTTTCAGATATACAACAGTATTATTAACTGTAGTCCTCATGCTGTACATTACATCCTTATGACTTATTTATTTGCTATCTGGAAGTTTATACCCTTTACCCATTTCCTCTTGCCCGCACCCTCTGCCAGCCATCAGTCTGTTCTCTGTATTTGTGTCTGGGTTTTGTTTTGTTTATTTTTATTTTTATTTTTTTTAAAGATTTTATTTATTTGACGGAGAGATACATAGAGAGGGAACACAAGCAGTGGGAGAGGGAGAAGCAGGCTTCCCGCCGGGCAGGAAGCCCTATGTGGGGCTCGATCCCAGGACCCTGGGATCATGACCTGAGCTGAAGGCAAAGGCTAACTGGAGCCACCCAGGCACCCCTTGTTTTGTGTTTTTAGATTCCATTATTTCTTTGAAGACAAAGTAATTTTTAAAAAATTATATAATAGTGAAATCTACTCTCTTTGTACATGAATCAAACAACATAGAAGCACCTAGAGCAAAAACCATTTCCTTCATTCTCTTCCATTCATTTCCCTAAAGGGAATCCTTGTCATTCTTCTTTTCCATTTTTTTTCTTTTACTCGGCATAGAATTATGCTATAAGTATTATTATTCTGTGACTTTGTTTAAAATTGATATGGTTTGGAGGTTTTCCCATTCATATAGAGGCTTTATCACATTTTTAATGACTCTGTAAAATTTCATAGTATATGTATACCAAAACTTACTTAACTGCCCTCCTCTTAATGTACCCTTAGGTTGTTTCCAGTTTACCATTAAAATTGTGCTGTTGTATACTTGTTCTTTAGGATAGGATTCTTAGGAGTAGAATTACTGGGTCAAAGGATATAGGCAACTGGCCTCTATGAAGGCTTCATGGATTTATCAAACATCAGTGGATGTTAGTGTTTGTTTCCCCACATTTTTGTCTGCTCTTGATATTATCAGTTTCTGCTTCTTTCAGTACACCAGGAACTCACCAGTCTGATCTAACAACCTTAAGGGTTTTCTGGTTTTAGTTTTAGTTTTTTTTTTTTAATTTTTAAAAACATTTAGGGGTGCCTGGGTGGCTCAGTCATTAAACATCTGCCTTTGGCTCAGATCATGATCCCAGGGTCCTGGGATCGAGCCCCGCATTGGGCTCCCTGCTCTGCGGGAGGCCTGCTTCTCCCTCTCCCACTCCCCCTGCTTGTGTTCCCTCTCTCGCTGCGTCTCTCTCTGTCAAATAAATAAATTAAAAAACACACATACACACACACACATTTAAACATTTTTTTTAATTTTAATAACACCTTGAGTTTTAGTTTGCTTTTTGAAAAACTTTTTATCTTTGTTTTCCCTTAGGCTGCAGAAATGGAATTTGCTAAATGATGGCCAAACAGTTAAATTTTAAGCTCTTCCCTGAGTTTAAAATTCCTTTGCTTGACAAAATAACATAAGGCATGTCCTAACAGTCATATCATAGGCTTGTCTTGATGAATCATTATGAAGCTACTTTGTGCTGATTGATTTTTTTTATCCCCCAAGGAAAAATTGCCTATCTTGGTGATTGTCCTTAGGTGGTGCGTATGATAGGTGCCCTTGATCTGCAGGAGATCTGGTCAGGATTAAGAAAGAAATGTATAGTGATTTCATGGTTTTCTATCACCTGATTCTCAGTATAAAATAAGTCACAATTTTTCATGTTAAGAGTAAAATAACTTTTTGTCCTTGGTTTATTTAATAAACTGATAAAGATCAACCTGCTAGGGCTGTCAGCCTTTTTATTTTGGTACTGGTAAAGAATAAGGCCAGTTGTTTTTTTACTTTAATTACCTGCCTGCATATTTCTGATAAGGAAGAATGGCCAAGCTGCATATTTTCTTTCCTTTTTTTTTTTCATATTTCTTTTTTTTTTTTTTAAAGATTTTATTTATTTATTTGAGAGAGAGAATGAGAGAGAGAGAGAGCAGGAGAGAGGGGAGGGTCAGAGGGAGAAGCAGACTCCCTGCCGAGCAGGGAGCCCGATGCGGGACTCGATCCTGGGACTCCAGGATCATGACCTGAGCCGAAGGCAGTCGCTTAACCAACTGAGCCACCCAGGCGCCCACTTTTTTTTTTTTTTTTAAAGATTTTATTTATTTATTTGACAGAGAGATAGAACAAGTAGGCAGAGAGGCAGGGAGAGGGAGAAGCAGGCTCCCCGCTGAGCAGGGAGCCCGATGCGGGGCTTGATCCCAGGGACCCTGGGATCATGACCTGAGCCGAAGGCAGCTGCTTAACCAACTGAGCCACCCAGGCGCCCCATTTTTTTTTGCATATTTCTGATAAGGAAAAATATCAGAATCCTGATGAACAGGTTCCTGATCCACGGGACTGTGTAGTGATAAGAGCGGAAGGTCTTTGAATAACTGTATTTTAAGTTAGAAATGTTGAAACTAAATAAAAGGAAGTTATGACAGTTTTATATGTTGAAGTTGTATGCATTATATATGCTTTTTTTTTTTCTCAGTAAGAAAATCATTTTTGAGTTATAACAAAACTATCTGGGGCCCCTTGGAACTGGTGGAGAAGCTGTACCCAGAAGCAGAGGAAATAGGAGCCAGTGTCCGGGATTTGCCTGGTCTTAAGTAAGTAATCTTATTGTTCATTTCTAACTGCAGAGATATATTTACTGTTCCTTGAAAGTACTTCACACTCTATTATCTTCTCTCAGCCTTAAGTAGCCTTATTCCATTCTCTCCTAATAAAATTCTGTTCTTTCTTTATAGCTCAGTTCAAATTTCATTTCCTTTATGAAATTTCTCTTAGTCCCTTCAGTAGGAATTAACTGCTTTTTCTTCTATACCCTATCACTATATTCACTCCTTTATTATATCACTTTGATTCTCCATTGTATTGCAGGAAACAGCAGGTCCCTTTAAGATAGGATGTATCAATTATGCATTTGTTTCCTGAGTGTTAAGCTAGTTTGCAGTAGTAAGCTAGTTGGCAGCCAATAACTATTTGTTGAAGACTAATTTATTTTTATTTGTTTACTTTTTAAAAAATTTTATTTATTTGGCAGAGACACAGCGAGAGAGGGAACACAAGCATGGGGAGTGGGGGAGGGAGAAGCAGGCTTCCCATGGAGCAGGGAGCCCGATGCGGGGCTCGATCCCAGGACCCTGGGATCATGGCCTGAGCCGAAGGCAGATGCTTAATGACTGAGCCACCCAGGCGCCCCTGAAGACTGATTTAGACCAAATCCAGGGCAAAGGCTCAGGAGATTAGAATTCTCAGATAAGCCATTTATATATATGGAGCTTGTGCAAATTACTTTTCTTTCTCTAAAAATTGGGACCTATAGTGTCACCTGCCCATTTCACTAGACAAATATATATAAAATGTAAAAACTGAATAAAGGCATAAAGGTGTTGTGAAGGCTAAATTCTTACGCTTTCCTTTAGTTTATCTTAATTCTTGTGAATGAGATAATCTTTTTTTCTTAGCATTTTCTGTCAGATTACCAGTTTGCTTTCTCTTAGCTTTATAATTGAGGGTTTTACAGTTGTTTTTTTTTAAGATTTTTTATTTTTGCGAGAGAGAGAGAGAGCTTGCAAGAGAGGGCGCAAGAGAGCGCAAGCACGCAGGAGCAGGGGGAGGGGCAGAGGGAGAAGCTGACTCCCGCTGAGCAGGGAGCCTGATGTGGTACTGGATCCCAGGACCCTGGGATCATGACCTGAGCTGAAGGCAGATGCTTAACTGAGCCACCCAGGCACCTGAGGGTTTTACATGTTGTAGGGAATATGGTAGTGTTTTCTGGCTGATAACACAACATCCAAATATTTCCAGGTTGTATTTAATTGAATGATAAAAGTAAATGGCTACTATTTATTAAGTACTGTCTCAGGGTAATAAAATAATTGGTTTACATGAATTATCTCATTTAGTCCTTACATCAGTCTTAGAGGGTAGAGATTATTATAATAATTGCATAGATGTTAAAAATAAAGGTCAGAGGAGTTAACAGTTAAAAAGTGGCAGAGCCAGGATTCAAACCCAGTTTTTAAATTTTATTTTATTATTATTTTTGTAAGTAATCTCTCTGCCCAGTGTGGGGCTTAAGCTCATGACGCTGAGATCAAGAATTGCATGCTTGACTGAGTGAGCCAACCAGATGTCCCTCAAACCTAGTTTTTAGAGTGAAATAGCAAGGGAATCATAACTCTCAAAAAGAGAAATATAAGAAGGGGCACCTGGCTGGCTCATTTGGTAGAGCATGTGACTCTTTATCTCTGAGTTGTGAGTTCAAGCCCCATGTTGGGTATAGAGAATACTTTAAAAATAAAATCTTAAAAAAAAAGAAATAAGATTTGGTCATTTTAATATGAAAATATATGTTCAAATTGTTTTTAAAAAGCCTAACTCTTCAAAAGTAAAAAATGTTTTCTGAACAATGGTATTCATTCAACTGCTAAACCATAAGAAGCTCATTAGCTGTTAGTAGTGAAGATTAACTTACCTCCCACACTACATGCCAAAACATTCTTTGTATAAGAAAACATAAAAGTGTGAATGATAATCTTTCTCTTTGAAAAACCATACATATTCTGTAAAAGTTGCTTTTACTTTTACTAAATGATCAAACTTGGATAAGAGGTAGGAGATTGAATTTTTTAAGGACAACCTCCTAGAGAAACATTTGAAAAATAACAAGCAGCCTGGTGATTTCTCTCTTTTTGACTACCAGCTTGGTGCCCTCCTAGCTTTGTTAGGATTTTTTTTTTTTTAATTTGTTAGGATTTTTAAAATTCAGATATCATGTCAGTTACTTTTTGAAGGCATTATATTGCTTTATTTGATGCATTTTGCATATCCATTTTTAAGACTGATGAATCACAGACTTGTATCTCTGAAACAAATAATACATTATATTTTTAAAAAAAAGTAGGAAGGGAAAAATGAAGGGGGGAAATCGGAGGGGACACGAACCATGAGAGACTATGGACCCTGAGAAACAAACTGAGGGTTCTAGAGGGGAGGGGGGTGGGGGGATGGGTTAGCCTGGTGATGGGTATTAAAGAGGGCACGTTTTGCATGGAGCACTGGGTGTTATACTCAAACAATGAATCATGGAACACTACATCAAAAACTAATGATATAATGTATGGTGATTAACATAATAACATAAAATAAATGTTTTTTAAAAATCTTAAGGAAAAAAAAAAAAGTAACCTCCATACCCAGTGTGGGTCTTGAACTCACAACCTGCAGATTAAAAATCACATGCTCTACTGACTAAGCCAGCCAGGTGCACCTTACATATTTATCTTTAGACAGTTAAGCCCATTCGGTCAAAATATTTCTTGTAGAGATAATCCTCAGTATTTAGAGCGTCATTTCTTCCAAGGCATAAAATGGTACCTAGATGTCCTGTAGGTGCAGGTTTACCTTAGATACTTAAATAGCTCCCAGGGATTGGTTTGCATGTTCAAAGAGCTGGCTTAAAAAACTAGAAACAAACAAAAAAAACCAAAACACCTGTAGAAACAGACAAAACCATGATAAATTGCAGTTTTCCTTTATTAATATGAACCTTGACAGCAATAGAATATGTAGTCTATTATAATATATGGACTGAGACTGTCTTCTGACCAGTTGGTTTTGCTTTTTAGGACTCCCCTGGGTCGTGCAAGAGCATGGCTTCGATTAGCCCTCATGCAAAAAAAAATGGCTGATTACCTGCGTTGCTTAATTATTCAGAGGGATCTCTTAAGGTTAGTACCATTAAGTCATGTTCATTTCCATTTTTAAAATTTCATTTATATCCTGTTTTCCAAAAAGAATTAAAGATGTAGTACAAAAGGATACATAAAATACAATAAGATGGCATTAAAAAAAAGAAGAGCAACATGAGAGAGAAAATCATGTAGGGACATAACATGGATCAGGAACTAGCCTAAAAACTGAATACCATAAGCTTTGTATTGACCAATAAGAGGAAAATTTATTTATATGTTATATTTCTAAGCTAGTTTTATTTTTTTTCTAAATTACAGTTAATTCTACAAATAAAAATCTGTATTGGGATTGGGAGCTTTAATCTGACAAATTTCTTTTTATTTTTTATTTATTTTAGAGAGGAAGATGGTGGGTGGTGCAGAGGGAGAGAGAGAGAACCCCAAGCAGATTCCCTTCCCAGGGCGGAGCCCACATGGGGCTCAATCTCACAACCCTGAGATCAAAGTCAAAATCAACAGTCTGACACTTAACCAACTGAGCCACACAGGCACCCCAACAGGTTTAGATCCTGAATGTCTAAACTGTTGCTTTGGCCGTATTGTGGGCACTTTTTAAACTGTCAATTGAAGGCCAGTGAGTGCTGGCAATTAAGTGGTATAGTGAAGATGACTGGAAAACATTAACTTGTTATTGTTAGTTGACATTGTGCTGAGGTTGATGGGAAGTCGAGCTTATAAATAGCCTGGTCTATGCACTGACTTTGAAATCTGCTCAATTTCAGGAATACATCTTATCATTCAGACCATTCATTGTTTACCTTTGAAGCTTTTTATTTAACAGAGAATGGATTCATCCTTTTAAAAAATGTAATACTGAACATAGCTGTGATAACACCCCCACTGAAACTTTTGTTTTCAGTATTAACTTCTTGAATAAATTGCCTTCATGTAGTAAATATATAAATAAGTAAATAATAGAAGGCCAGATTTTAAGACAGACTTTCAGAGTATGGTAATCAGTTGTTAGAGGGGGTGACCCATAGCAGTCCCTCTGTTTGCCCTTGTTCTCTTGGAGTGCCTGTCTGATATTCTGGAGAATCTGGTCATTTTTGGTAGTACTTATGACTCTGGTCGTACATCTTGGTTTTCCCATTTGTTAAATGAGAATGACCGTACTTTAAGCACCAGCAATTTCTCAATAATATTGTGAAGGTCAATTAAAGTTTGATTAAATAGTACATGGGACTTCTTGAGGAAGGCATGAGACAGTGATAATTAGTTCTATGAATACATAATTGTCAAGTCTTAGTTTTTAGACTGTCCTGTTTCTTTCACAAATCTCGTTTGAACATTTTTTAGGATATAGATGTCCTACCATCCTTAATTGATGATTATTAAGAACACTTGCAATATACATATCAAATACACTGATTTGAACATGGGCTTTGGAAATGTTTCATATGTTCATTCCCTACCTTAGTCTTCATCCCAAGATTCTTAATAAATCCTAGAATTAAAAAGTCAACTCTAATAAAAAGTATTGTAATCAAATCAGTAACAGTCAATATGTCTTCTGAGAGTCCCAGACATTCCAGGCCTCAGTGATGCCTCTTTTTCTTTTGATCTATATCTCTTTGCTTCTCTTTTCTTTCTCTCAAAATTCCTTTTCCTCTTTCATCTCTTTCAGCCCCATTCTTTTACCTTGTTTACATGGACATTAACATTTCAAAATATTTAAGTTATTCACATATAGAAAGGCTAATTTGAAGAGACCAAATTTGTATGGGCTCCATGTTTATATTATGGGGCTGAGATTTTAAAATTTAGTGTTTGAAGTAAATTTGTGTTTTAAGGTTTTTATTTTAATTTCCACAGTGAATTTTATGAGTATCATGCACTAATGATGGAAGAAGAAGGAGCAGTAATTGTTGGGCTGCTGGTTGGCCTGAATGTGATAGATGCTAACCTGTGTGTAAAGGGAGAAGATTTAGACTCACAAGTAAGTGAAAGTGACTCGTACCAAATGCAGAGTGTTTTTAGTTTGTGCTGTTCCTCTTGGATCCAGTTGTAAACAGTACTGTTAAACACTAAAGAAAAATTAAGAATGAATTTCAGTTGCATGTTAACTTTACTTCTAATATTTCTCCCCTTTAACTAAAAATAACATGATTTACTTTAGGTTGGAGTGATTGATTTTTCCATGTATTTAAAGAATGAAGAAGATATTGGAAATAAAGAAAGGTATGATTTTCATAAGTTATTTCACATGTATTTTTTTTTTTTTAAAGATTTTATTTAGGGCGCCTGGGTGGCTCAGATGGTTAAGCGTCTGCCTTCAGCTCAGATCATGATCCCAGAGTCCTGGGATCCAGCCCCGTATGGGGCTCTCTGCTCAGTGGGGAGTCTGCTTCTCTCTCTCCCTCTGTCCCTCCCCGCTGCTCGTGCTCTCTCTCTCTCAAATAAAAAAATCTTAAAAAAAAAAAAATGCTTTACTATAATAATCGTTACAATTCTCTCATAAAGTGACATCACTGTTTAAGTAGATTTGTTGCCAAAAACTCTTTAATTGGAAAAAAAAGCATAGTTTACAAGAGTTTATTCTGTTGTCTTCCAGAAACACTAAAGGCAGCTCTTTTTATTACATTTTAATTGAAGACTAATAGTACTGCTGCTTTATATCATAGGAGTATTTTAACCTACAAATTAGCTCTACTCATTTCAAAGTAAAAATTCCATAGTGAAATGGTATACAAAACTTAAAAATATTCAGGTTTAAAAATCAAAGCCACTATAGTTGTTTTTTTTTTTTTCTTTCTACATAGGGTTCTGAAGATGGCTTGAAAGAAAAAAATGAAATAATTGTCCGACTAGAAGAAAAAACCAATAAAATTACTGCAGCCATGAGGCAGCTGGAGCAAAGGTACAGCATTTTCAGTCTTAGTTTCTTTTTTTCCTTTTTTTCTCCCTTTTCTTTATTCAACTCTGACACCTGCCACAAAAACCATTAGGAAAATTTATTAGGACTTTTTTTTTTTTAAGCCCAGCAGGATTTTGCCTTTTTTGTTTTGGTTGTTGCATGGAATCAAGTTGCTTTATAGTAGGCTGAATTCATTTGAATTTGCCATTTTGTGGATTTTCTTAAAAGATTTAATATCGGCAATTTCATGTGGTTCAATCGATGACATAAAACAAATACACAAACAAAAACTTTAAAAAAGTGAAAAACGAACAAAATCTATGGTGGAATTATCCCTGATTGATTTCCATGCATATTGATTTTCATATCCTTTGTCATTCATCATCTCTTTATCTGAAATCAAGCTTTGAGTTGGCAGTTTAGTTGCGTTTCTTTGAGCTAGGACCCTCAACCCAAACCAATAAATAATTTTATTTAAATTGAATTGTTTTGTATTGGCATTTTTCACTTTTATTGTTGGAAAATGTAATGTATTTCCATTGACCTGTCATGTTGGTGTCAACATATGTCTTATCATTGCTTTCTTTGAATCTACTTATGAAAAACATAACTATTAATGCTTTATTGACATGAATATTCTTTTATTGACATCCTCTTTCTTCTTTTTTCTTTTTTGTTTTCTTTATCCCCATTTTTACATTTTGGACATCTTTATTACCTTTCTCTGTCTTTAATTTCTGTCCATTCCATTATGAAGTGACAGTGATTTGTTAACTCAAACTAGGACAATTGCAATGTCATTGGTGAAATATGCCAGCAGTGACACTCAGGACCAGTACAAGCTGGTCAAAGATATATCTTTCTGAAAACCACTTGTATTTAAACAGACTAAAAGAGAGTCGACAATTTTATAATATATTAAATAGAAAATAATTTATGCTATTAAGTATTTGAAAAGGGTATTAAGAACCCTGTCCACTTCTTGATCAGCTGCTGTGGTAATACACTGCCATGAAGCAGAGTGGGTGCACTTGGATTTCCAAAAACACATTCCTCAAACCTCGTGCACAAAGGCTGATTTGAGTATTGACCTTTTGGAGGTCAGGATTTTCAAGTGCAGTTTTATCTTTTTAGCTACTTTTTGATGGAAAATATAAACATTGTTTAAAAATAAGTTAACCCTTTGGTTTCACAGTGTGTTGGCACAAATTTTCCCTCTTGGCCCACTCTTGGCCTAATGGCTTCTTTACTGATTTTTTAATATGTTTTAAAATAGTTTATAACCCAGATTGGCCATTCTCTTGTGCTCTAGCACCTCAGTTTTCCAGTTCCCTTAGCCCTCTTCTGTGATAGCACAACTTCAAGCCCTACCTCACTCTGAGTTTTATTTTAGTTTCTGTAATCTTAGAGAAATACTTGGGTCCCTGTCCCCCTACATTAATATTTTAAAATTAAATTTCAATTTAGAGATAACTTGAATGTTATTCTCTTTTGCTCAGAAGTGGCATTTATACTTCTCAAATGTGTCAGGTTGCCCCACTGGTATGTTTTTAGGAAGAAAAGAAGAGTGTTTTCAGCTAGTTGAATAGAAATTTTGCCTGTGATTCCCTACAAGGAGTTAATGTCTCTTTAATACGTGGGAAAAGTTTTCTTATAAAAACATTGAAGTTAAATCTAAGAAATCCTAGATGGGAGGCAGGGAGTGGAGCTAAGCACAGGGAGAAGCAATGACTTACAAATAAAAACAGAACAAATGAAAATCACATTTTAAGCTATTTAAACATCAGTGATGAACAAAAATGATCTCTAGAGAATGTTGCCAACTAATACTATATTCTTTCGAATCTTAACATACACACAACACACACACACACAGCTTTCGGCATAATGTAGTAAATGCATAAAGATCCTACAGGGAGGACTTGGCTGTTCGAAATAATTGCAGGTCTTTGCTCTTGGCCTTGTAGCACACTTGATTCCTGGCATACACATCCTAACATAATAAATAACAATGTGGCTTCTTCACCTAGTGTAGACGTAAATACTGTGCTTTACATGGTTTTGTAAAAAGGCAGTAACACACCCATTATACTTTCGAAGTTAATTCATTCTGCTCTACGTAAGTGGTAAAGGCTGTATTGCTTTGCATTGTTAATTATGAACAAGAAATAAAACAAATTTGAAGATAGTATTCTGGGCATATTATATGTTATATTGAAAAAAAATCACATAACAATTTCTAGACATTGTGTGGCTCTTTCACGTTTGAGTTTGTGAGTTTCCCCCCAAACTTTGTTTTCATTTAGAAATGTTTCTATTTCCCCATTTTTCTTTTATTTGTCTTCTTCACCCTTTTACACCCTAGTTCTAGCCTCAGTTTTACCCAAAGTTGATTTGAATTACACCAGATTGCAGCAAGCAGAGAAGGCGCAAATGGAAGCTGAAGATGAAGACAAGAAATATCTACAAGAGTGTCAGAGTAAATCCGACAATCTGCAGAAACAAATCTCCCAAAAGGAGAAACAGCTGTGAGTATTTCACTCTTGGAAATAAGTACTTGTATTAACATAATTCCCACCCCTTCTTTTTTGCACATAATGGTAGGATACCTATATTTTCCTTTAGTTAATGATGCCAGCTAGATTATGGAGTTCTCCTTGAGAAATAAAAAAAAAATTAGAAAACATAATTGATAAAACTTGTGTTTTTTTGTCCCCTTATTGTTTTCAGAGCATTTCAACTATCTTGTTACCTTGCTCAAGGAGAATTTTATTCTTTCTGCTGGTATATAAAAGCAGATGGCCATTATATTTCTAGGTACTGAGTGTAATATGCCTTTGTAACTGAAAGGGACTTATCAAAGAATAAGAAGTTTTTTGAGAACATTTTTATTAATACTTCATATGACAGATCTATATATCTATTACCAGCTAAGAATGATGTCCATATACGTCATTGGACTGAAAAAGGCAAGTTGCAGACAGTATGTGAGGTATAATCCCATTTTTTAATAAAATTAAAACTGTGCATATGTGCATATTTACATATACATATAAAGAGAGAAAAGAGTTTAAAGAATACAGATTCTGGGGAATGATTATCTTAGGGGAGTGATGGCAGATTGGCAGGGGTATTTTAGTTTTTACTTTATTAAACATCAGTATTTTCCCCCAGTCAATATGTGCTACTTTTGTTATTAAAATAAAGCAACAATAGAAAATAGTTATGTATTATGTTTAACAGATCATTAAACAAGACTACATGCCATTTATGATGTATAACTTGCTAAGCTGCCTTGAGATCCATTGGTTGAGGTGACATTAAACTCCTCTCAATTTTTGCTAATTTTCTAATAGTTCTGTCAATTATTGAGAGGGGATTTGTTGAATATCCCAACTTTAATTGTGGATTTGTGTATTTCTGCTTTTAGTTCTAATGGTTTTTGCTTCTTGTATACTGAAGTTCTGTTGTTTGGTGCCTACACATTTAGGATTGCTGTATCTTTTTGGTGAATTGACCTTTTTATCAACATAATATGCTTCTTTATCTTTGGTAATTTTCTTTATCAGATGTTAATAGAGCTACTTCTTTCTTTTGATTAATATTGTCATGTAATAAAACATTAACATTCACACTTTTCGGTCTTTAAACTTTCAGCCTAATCTTTATTATCATCATCAGTATATTTGAAGAAAGTTTCTTATAGTTCATATTTTTTATCTGTTCTGACAATTTCTTAATGATATATTTAGTCCATTTACATTTAGTGTAATTGTTGATATGAGAGCTTAAGTTGCTGTTTTATTGTTTTTTTGTTGTTTTGTTTTTCATTCCTTTATTTCTTTTTTCCTGCCTTCCCATGGATTACTTGAATATTATTTAGAATTCCTTTTTGATTTATCTATAGTGTTTTTGAGTGTATCTCTTCGTATAGATTTTCTAATGATTGCTGTAGATACTGTCTTATATATTTGCAACTTTTCAGTTTATTGGTGCCAACATTTTACTACTTTGAATGAAGTGTGGAAGCCTTACTTCCACTTAGATCTTTTTACTCTCTCCCTTTTATAACATAATTGACTTAAATATTTTCTCTGCGCAAACCATATCAGACAATATTAGAAAGTTTTTTTTTTAATATAAACTAAGTCCATTGTTGAGTTTGAACTCATGACTCTGAGATCAAGAGTTGCATGCTTTATGGCTGAGCCAGCCATGTGCCCCCACATCAGACAGTATTATAGTTTGTCCTTCAAACATTAAACATAATTTAGAAAACTTTATTGTTCTTTCATCATTCCTGAAATTCCAAGTTTTCTTCTGTATCTGAAGAACTTTTTTTGTGTTTCTTTTAGGGTAGGTCTGTTGGCAACAAATTCTCTTATTTATTTTTTTTCATCTGAGGTCTTGATTTCACCTTCATTTCTGAAAGATATTTTCAGAATATCCTTAGAATTCTGAGTTGACAGTTCTTTTCTTTCAGCACTTGAAAAGTGTTGTACCACTTTCTTTTGGTTTTCATAGTTTCTGATGAAAAATACTGTCATTTGAATTCTGTTCCTCTACCCAAGATTATTTCTTTGGATTTCTCCTCTTTAGGCTTTGGTCAGCTTCTTGAATCTTTATCTTTACCAAATTTGGAAAATTTTCAGCTTTTTCTCTAGATATTTTTTCCAGCTCCAACTGCTTTCTCTCTTCTGGAATTCTTTTTTTTTTTTTTAAGATTTATTCACTTTAGGAACACCTGGGTGGCTCAGTCAGTTAAGCATTTGCCTTCGGCTTGGGTCATGATCCCAGGGTTCTGGGATTGAGCCCCGCATTGGGCTCCCTGCTCAGCAGGAAGCCTGCTTCTCCCTCTCCCTCTGCCCCTCCTTCCCACTCATTCTCTCTCTCTCTCTCTCAAATAAATAAAATCTTATTTAAAAAAAAAAGACTTACTCACTTTAGAGAAAGAAAGGGAGTGGGGACAGAAGGAAGTAGGAGAAGGGAGAATCCTAAGTAGACTCCTTGCTGTGAGCATGGAGCCTGACACGGTGCTTGATCTCACAACCCTGAAATCATGACCGGAGCCGAAATCAAGAGTCGGATGCTTAACTGACTGAGCTTCCCAGGCTCCCAAGCTCCCCTCTCTTCTCTGGAATTCTGATAACCTTGAATATTAGATTTTTAAAAAAATAGTCCTAAAGGTCTCTGACACTTTTTTTTCCCCCA